GGTCTGAGCCCAGTTTGGCTCGTTTCTTTGAGAAACCTGTAGCTCTCACAGAATAACTTGTTAGTGATGCTCTCAGGCATCCCATTTCTTTTAGTTTGCCAAATTATTTTTATTCAGTGTCAATAGGGACCTGACAATGTTATGTGAACTCCAGGAGTTACCAACCTGCCACCATATACCAGTGTCTCCTGTACACGTTTTTCAGCTGTGAGTAGAAGTGGTTCTATTGCTGCAACTTCTTAGGAACCATTATGCGGAAGGAGCAACTGGGGAGGTGGGGCTGACCACAGAGGGCATCTCTTTAGGTTGTAAGGGCTCTGCTCTGGGGCAGAGGAGTGCAAATGAGAACGTTCCCAGCCCAAACCTGGGCCTGCGTTGCCATTTCCAGCTGTTCCCTGCTTCTCGCTAATGGCCGGAGCAAACTGCTCTTCTCCAGGTGCCCTTTGGAGATGCTGCTCGGCCGAGGCTGGACCACTCGGGATAAAACACTCAGCCGGGGTTTCTCATTTCCAGATATTTGAGAGACAGTGGCTGTTTGGCCCGGTGACAGCGGTGCAGAGACAGGGGCCGTGTCCAGCTGTTCCAGGACATGGGACAGCTCCTGGCCCTGCTCAGGGTGCTGGTTCCTGCCATAGTGGGTGTTGGATGGAGGGTCCCTCTGTTCCCCCTGGGCACAGGCAGTGGCCGTGGTGTCCCTCCTGCACCCGCCTGCGGCACGGCCAGCCCTGCCCAAAACCTTCGGCTGGGACCATTTTCGCTGCTGGGGAGCAGGAACCAAAGGGCTGATCCTGGAGGGATGGCAGGTGCCCATCGGGTTTTTAACAGTTCAGCTCTTTCTTTGTAGACTTTACTGTAGCCCAAGAAAATGTGAACTTTTCTGTTCTCCATTGCCTGTGCTTTGGGCTGGTCTCACTCCAGTGGCTTCTAAAAGCCAGTTCTCCATGAGGCACGTTGGTCGAGTGCCTGGAGGTGATTCCCCTCCCTCCAATTACAGAAGCACAATTAGTGATTTCTTCCTGTGAGTGTCCTCTGCTTTCTAGCTCTTGTCTTCCAGAGTTGAAGGTTTTGGGGTCAGGTGCTGAAGAGATATTTCTCTAACATGGAAAACATAATTGGTGCTCAGTTGAAGGTTATAATTAAAGGCCCATTAATCCCCCCATGATGGACAGGACTGGTGCAGCTCGTGCTGATGCTGCTGGCCAGAAAATCACTTGCCAGAAGTGTTGGTAAAGACGGGGCAGGTTCTGGTCTGGGTTGGCAGCTGGTGCCCATCAAGGTGTCACCCTGGATGTTAGTAGAGGCCCGCTGGGTTCAGGTTCACTGGGGATCTGCTCTCTCTGGTGCGTGAGCAGATGGGGTAAGAGGGAGAGGGGGAAGGTGGAGGGTGTTGGGATCAAACAGCAAATGGTGGCAGCTCGGGCAGTGGGGCTGGTCTCTCGCTCACTGTGCCGGCAGGAGAAAATGGACGTCCTCCGAGTGCTCCTGCCTGTTCCCTAGGCAGCAGGCACGAAGGGCAGAAAAAGGCTTTTCTGCCTGCCTGTATTTTTCATGGTTATCTGAAAAGACTACTTGAGAGTGAGTTCATTTTAATTGAAAGGAGGGTGCCTCTTCAATGCAGCAGCAAAGTAACTATGGAAGCAGGGGAGCGACAATGCCGGCGCTGTCGGGGGCTGTGGCCGTGAGCGGCTGACTCAGAGACCTCCGGAGCACTGAAGAATGTCATTTGCTCTGTTATTGCTTCTGTCTTTGCATTAATGATGCCAGCAGCCCTTAATTTTGTTTTCTACTGCAAACTTTTTCTATTTAACATGCAGTAAGAGCTCCGGGGGTCAGTGGCTATCTCCAGTTGTTTGTGTGACTGCTCGTGGCTGAGTGGCTTTAGGGTCACGGCTTGTGGGCTCTCCATGTCTGGAGAGGCTGCCCTTTGCTCTGCGCCCTGAGATGGTGCTGAACTTCTGCCAGGAAACATGAAAGTGTCAAAGCAACATGGTACGGGAGCGGGGAGACAAAGAGATGCTGTTGGTGAAGGTTAAAATGTGCCGCCCTGGTGCCTGGATGCCCAAGAGCGTCCTCGCCCGCTGGCGGGACTGACCTGCCGCTGTTGAGCTGTCCTTGGCACCAGGTCTCTGGGGAGAGCCAGCGCACGTGGGATGATGTGGGAGAGGCAGCTGGGGCCTACTGGGCTACTGGCACTGGGCTCACCAGCATGTGGCCAGTGGGCAGGAGGTGGTGACCCTGACCGAGGTTGCATGGGGGCTGCTGGCTGTGAGCTGTGATGGGCACAACCCCCAAATTCCTCTGAGCAGTGGCGGGGGAAGG